TTATGTCTAACATATATATATATATATATGTATATATATTTTTATAAATAAAAAATGTTTCTTTCTAATATAAATTAAATAAAAAGTATAATATGCCTTTAAATACTTTATATTCACACCTATTGCAATAAACCAACCAAAGAATGATTTTACATTCCTCCTTGTACTTTGGCATACATATCCTTTATGCCAATTATCTCGCAACATGCTTTTATCGCATGATGACAAACAAGCCCATTATCCTTCATGAATTTTCTTTACAAATATTTTTATATTCTCAAACTGTGTAAAAAAATCATGTAACACTGAAAAATACAAAGTGATATTAAAAGAGAAGAAATAAATTTTATATTATATAGTATTGACAAGTATTTTTTTACTAGTGTGTTCCTTATATGTAGGAATATACATTAATCTTTGACCAGCCCTATTTTTAACAGTCTTTAGGGATGCTTTGGCTTTTGATAACGCAAATCCAGCACGCTAATCCATTTCCATTTCCAGTTACTATAAATGAACTGATTCTAGTCTTACGTGCTAAATTACTGGTCATACAAGTTATCATTTTGTTTTCCAAAATCCAGGTTTTAAAACTTTCAAATGTATCTGCAGAAAACAAAGATATTAATTATATAAAATTCTAATATTTAGAACTGAAACATCAAAAAAAAAAATTGAAAATAGACATCGTATCACATGATTTTTGTATGTGTGTGATTTAACCATTATAATCCAATAATAGCATAAATATTAACCTTTTCCAATAAGATCTGATTCAATGCTTCTGCCATCCATTATAACACTCGTCCAACCACATTCCAATGGCGATAATTTTATTTGCATTGATCTGGTCTGACTTTGTGGTAATTCCATTTTTGCTTTCTTTCAAGATTTACAAGCAGTTTTTGCTGTTGAATTAATTCTTTTCCTCTAAACACAGGAGTGTTTAGACCAGGAAATTGTATCGGAATTTTTCCCATGCCAATAATTTGCTCCTTATTTAGGTCTCTCTTTTCACTACTCTTCTTGCTGTACCTCTGCATCTTCCTGCATTACTGATACTTGTCACATCCTTTCATAATTCATCTTCAGGTCCTATAGAACAAAAGCACAGTGAAATACAAACTATTTTCTACTGTAAATATAAACTATTATCAAAATGCTATATCCATAAAAGTTCTACTTACTATTCGCAAAGAACATAGAGTTTCTCACATTATTTAATAAAGTGACTATTTTTAATAAATGTGAATGACTGACAAGCAATAAATTAAACAATATTAAACAATAATATATACCTGAAAAAAATTTCATAATTTTATTAGAATTAAATTGATAAATTAATTTTAAATACATATTATATGTTAATTACATATAATGATTTAGAGACAATGATATATTTCATTTGTGTTACCATTGTTTACAGATTGAACATTTTTATCAAATTATTTACAACTCTACAAATATGTAGCATACGACAAGCCATTTTTAAAATCTATAAAACAAACAACAAAATTGTTCATAGTTTTCACTCTGTTTTGTCATAGTCTGCTTTTGTCATAATCTGCTTTTAGGTGATCTCTGAAAGCAATGCATCCTATAAACAAAAAAATATAAATATGAACTACGTAGTCAAATCTACAAATTTTCAATAGGTAACATAATTTCGGATTGTATTCCATGCCTCGTACACGAAATGTCGATAACATAAGTAACGCAAAACGTTTGTATATATTAAATAAATTTGTAATATAAATAAGTTTTGTGATCTCTCTCTCTCTCTCTATCTATCTATCTATCTATCTATCTATCTATCTATCTATCTATCAAGTATAATTATTATAATATATTACTCGATATTATATTATATTATATATTAATCACTCATTATCTATCACCACCATCGCCATTATTATATGTAATTTAATATATACTACCGTTTAATTAAAAAAATATTTGCCTCAATTAATTTCAATCAGAAAGAAGAATAAGAAACATTATAGATCACTTGGATAATTCGTAAAGACAATACGCCCTCTGAAATAAAAACGTGGACATGAACTACGAAGCTAAATAATGAATGTTTTCAGTAGGTAACATTATTTTGGATTGTTCTGTTGTTAACACAAGTATCGATAATGCAAAACGCTAAATTTTTAATACAAATCTAAAGTTTTGGATGGTCTTTCCCTCTCTGTATTAATAATATAATTAATTATTAGTATATTCCTTGATACAATATATTAATCACACATCATCCATCATCACCATCGCCACCGCTATTTTTACGTGATCTTTATCACAACGGTTCATCATTGAAAATAAATTATAACACAAAAAATATTCTAGTTTATTTTTAAATATTATTTTTAAATATTAAATAATATAAGTATTAAAATTAAAATAAAAAATTGGCTCAAATAATAATAATTAAAAATTAACTAAACAATTGATAACTAAGAGCCAATAAAAAGCGCGATAACTGGAGCACAAGAAAAATCCTTTCTCTTTTAATTATTAATATATTTTAAATTATTAGTATATTTCAAATTACTCGTCACAATACATACAATAAATACGAACGTTTCGGATTATCTTTTAATCTACCTTCAACGTGACATTAATATTATTACACATTCGAAAATATTAAACAATGACATATGAAAAATTATATAAATCAGATGCAGATAGTATATTTGTAATATCTGCATGCCGATTATGAAACGATTTATATAATTTCATATTTATTCATATTTATATAATTTTATATGTTATTGTCTAATATTTTTTAATGAGTAATATAATGATACGCCGTTAAATTTCTTTTCTAGATGCGATCGCGATCAACACCGAAAATTATTTATTATAACTATATGATTAATTAACTTTTATAAATAACACATAATTAATATCTATATACAAATCGCGACAAAAATTCTCTATCGCATTTAATCGTAATTTATTCATTTAATCAACTAAGAATTATAGTAACAGAAATCTAAAATAATAAATTATTATTTCGATATGAAATCGATTTTTACGAGCAGAAATTATTTCTTTAGTATTTATAGATATTTATAGAATACAATATATCTGCGATGCTTTATTTTTCAATCATTGAAATATTTTGAATTGTGAGAACGCACAATAAAATAATTGAATCATGAATCTAAACATAATGAAAGACTCCATACATCAATCTTTTAATAAATAATCCTATAATTAAAAAATCTATGTGATCTAAAATACTGTTATATACTTAAATATATTCCATATATACATATATGTATATATTAAAATACGTAAAATATTTCGATGACGAACAAACAATAACCGACCTTGGTGCCGTAATAGCGCGCTAATGTTTATATGCTATAGTCTTGTAAAATGTTTCGATAAAAAAATAATAACACGGTTTTTCGGACTAACTTTTTCGGTTCTATTATTATTCGCGCGTCGACACTCAAAGAGTAAAGTAGTGGTATACAAGACGCTCCGTTAAATCCTTTTCTAGGCGCGATCGCGATCAATATCGAAAAATTATTTGCTGTATTTATTATATTATATTATAATATAAAATATAATATAATATAATACAATATATTTCGATATGACAAACGAACAATAACACGGCGTTCGATCTTGACGTAAACAATAGCGCGCTAGTCATACGGTCTTAGTATCATTCACAAAGCGACACTCAAGCAGTAAAGATCGTAGTGCGAAATATGTCGTATATTCTTATATGTTTATATGCCATAGTCTTGAAAAATGTTTCGGTACAAAAATAATAATAACACGGTCTTTTGGATTAATTTGTTCGGTTCTATTATCATTCGCGCAATGACACTCAAAGAGTAAAGTAGTAGTACAAGACGCTCCGTTAAATTCTTTTCTAGACGCGATCGCGATCAATATCGAAAAATTATTTGCTGTATTAAAATATGTAAAATATAATATAATATAATATAATATAATATAATATAATATAATATAATATGATATAATATAATAAAAATACGTATTGTTTACGCCAAGATTGATATTATTATCTGTTTGTCATCGAAATATCCTACATACGTTAACATATTTATATTACCTTATATTGTAATATAAAATATAATACAATATATTTCGATATGACGAACGAACAATAACACGGCATTCGATTTTGACGTAAACAATAGCGCGCTAGTCGTACAACGTATGGCCTTCGTATCATTCATAAAGCGACACTCGAGCAATAAAGATCGTAGTGCGAAATACGTCGTATATTCTTAAATTAATTATTAATTAAACGATTATTGTTTCATGACTTTCAATTATATTAAACTTTCGACTATAATCGTATTAATATACATGTATTGCATATATATATATCAATAATGAAAACAACAAATTCATTACGCGTAATAATTAGTTTTACAAAATGAATTATTTTGAGTTTTATAAAGAAGATTTATAATTATATATCTATTAATTATATATTATATTATATATAAAATTATATATAACCCTCCCACGGGGTACACCTTGTCGCGGTGGGAGGGCTTAGTATTTGGATGGTGCCTTGAAGTTTATTTTAAATTTTATTTAATTTAGAATAAATCTCAAGGAGCCTGAAGAGGAAGCTAAGTACCCTTTCGCGTCGTCGGTGCCATCAACGTATCGCGGATGGCGGCGTCTCGTTCCCGCGTTTTCGCGTTTAGCTTTTTGGCGTCATCGCGTCATCGCGTTTTCGTGTTGGACTTTCTCGCAATCCCACTTTCACAAGTGAAACGGGATTTTCGCTCGTATCGAAATCGGAAGTGCCGTTTAAAGTATATATATATTAAATATATACATCGCGCGACAAAACAGAAAATTTTTAATCGTATCGAATAGTGCGGGAGTGCTGTTCAGTATCGCACGTAAAATTGCGAAAATAGCGATATAAAAATATCGCTCGTGAGTGCGGGAGTGCCGTTAAGTATCGCGCGTTTAACTGAGAGGAGGAGGAGGCCTAGGAGAGGCATCGGGCTCCGGCAGAGCAACCTTCTGGTAAGCAATTTATTTATTTGTAATTATATATTAAATATTAAATATATTTATTATAATTTAAATTAAACAATTAATCGCAACAATTAATTTGATTTGTTTATTTATATGATTTAAATAAGAGGGAATTAAAGATAAAGATTTTTAAATAAAAGCTATAATCTTGTAAAAATATAAGCTTTTATAAAATTAGTGAAGATAGAGTATTATTAATAAATTCTGTTCTGTTTTTTTTTATTTTATAGAATTATTTTATTAATTTGATTATTATTATACATATCATGTATATATTATATCTCATATATATATATATATATATATATATATATATATATATATTATATCGAATATAATTCAATGCATACAATAATAATTTTTTGAAATATTAATTATTTTAAACTCCGCTACAATTTGAATTTTCTCTTTATATGTTATAGATCGACGCAGCAGAACTGACGATCTGAGAGGAGAAGCAGGCCTAGGAGAGGCATCCTGCACCAGCGGAACAACCTGATGGTATTATTATTTGTATATTACCTATTATAAATTGCATTAGTTTAATTCACTTATTCAAATGATTTAATCAAGAAAGATTGAAAGAAAAAGATTTTATATAAATCCTATAAAAAAAGTTTCGATTTAAAAAATAGTTTTTTTACAATTTATAAAATTATTCCATATTTATATATTTGTTTTATATATTATTGCTCGTATCGAATATAAAATTCGTTGTGTACAATAATAATTGAATATAAAAAAAATAAAAAAAAAAAAAAAATATATATATATATATAATATATATATATATATATATATATATATATATATATATATATATACAGGGTGTCCCGAAACTCATAATCAATTTTTCAAAGACAGATTCCTGGAATCATCCAAAGACGATTTTTCCTCAATGAAAATCGAGGCACTTATAATTTTCGAATTATAAGTGATTGGAAATAAGGGGTTTTTCGTAAACCAGGCTTTGTAGAAATAAAATATTAACAAAATCACATTCTTCGATTAATTTTAAATAGAGTTTACTTTAGTTGAGTTTTAATTTAAGGCTTAATTGCAAAGATATATGATGACAAAAATCGGGAACATGCAAAAAATGATGGCTTTCATCGACATTTTTGCTGAGGAAAAATCGTCTCCAAATAATCCCATCTGTCTTTGAAAGATTGATTATGAGTTTTGGGACACCCTGTATATATGTATATATATATATATATATATATATATATATATATAATAAAATATTAATCATTTTAAACACTGCTAATTTGAATTTTATATTTATATGTTATAGACAACGTAGCTTCGAAATCGACTCCGCTGTTGCGCATCAGTGTCGGTGAGTCAAAAACTTTTATTTAATTTTAAGGTAACGGATTTGTGGAGTTTGTAGATGTAGATTGTAGATATAGATTGTAGATAGGTCCGTTACCTTAAAATAAATGGGCTAACAAATTAAACAAATTACATTTAATATATATATATATATATATATGTGTGTGTGTGTATATATATATTAAGTTTAATACGTATATTAACTTGAATAGTTCTTTTCAATATATAGTAATACAACATCTTAGGAATGCAAATTTAAAATTAAATAAATATGGAAAAAAAATTTTAATTTTTTATCAATTCTTTATTACAGTCAGTTATTTATTTTGCTTAATAAAGAACATGCTATTAATTTTATTAATATTTCATATAATAATTTATTTCTTTATAACATGCTGATTTTGTTTTAATTTTTCGTAGTCCATCTATTTATGTAGTGTAGCATATCAGAAACTTTGCTTTGACTATTATAAGTCTAAGTTCTTGATTAAGTAAATCATATATAATATTTAAAAAATTTGTGAATAAGTAAGTAAATATAAAGAAAAAATACTATGAAAAATATAAAAATGTATGTTAATTTTCAATTAATTTTATTTTATTATAAATTTTGTTACAAATATTTTATATATATATATATATATATACGTATAATATAAAAATTTCAATCAATCAATTTTGATGGATTTGGATGACTTAGTATTATATTAGTTAAAGCAAAGTTATATTAAAATGACAATGGTCGTTACATATTACGACTATAAATGAGCGTAAAATGACGCTCATGCGAAAATAAATAACTTGCAATGAAAGGAGTTGTTCTCCTTTATTGACCTTAGAGAGGTCTCTGAACTTTTTGGCTAAAGGTAGCCAAATGAAATATGGTCGTGGTCAGTGAAAGGTAGGTTTAACTGATCCGACGAATTATTTTAAATGAAATAAAGAGGATGATCAAAATATTGGTCAGAAATAAATAAACGAAAAATACATATGTATTTCTACGTGCAATAACACGCAATAAAATAAACACATAAAATAAACGGGTCCGACATAAAATACACGTTAACATTTAAAAAATAAATCAAGACGCGAATAAAAGACGAAAATAAATGGCGACAAAAAAGAAATCGGTTCGCGAATCGTGTTTAGGGCACATTTCCTAAATCTTAAGTAATCGCGGATGCTTGCTGGCCTAATCAGCAAATAAAACTGCTACAGTTTTTAGGATCGGTAGGGCTGTTAGGATGGATAGGGCTGTTAGGATGGATAGGGCTGTTAGGATCGATAAAACTGTTAAGATCGGTAGGGTTGTTAGGATTTGTAGGATTGTTAGGATCAATGTAGGGTTGTTAGGATGGATAAGGCTGTTAAGATTAATAGGCTTGTTAGGATCGATAGGCCTGTTAAGATCGATAGGACTGTTAGGATCGATAGGCCTGTTAGGATTGATAGGGCTATTAGGATTGATAAGGATTGTTAGGATTATTAGACTGTGAATTGTTAGACTATAGTATTTTATATAGTAAGATAATTACTATATAATATACTATAAAGCTTTCCCTTATTGAAACATAGGATATAATTTAAGAACGCAAAATTGTATATTATATTATGTAAAATTGTATATTAATTGTACTCTGAAAAAGCTGTACAATCAAGATTGATGTATAATGTTTGATATCATTCTTGATTTTTTAATAAATATTCACATTGCATATATAATGTGAGTTACATGTAATGTGGATATTTAATAATTTGATTATGTTATAAATTGCGTTTTTATATATACGAATTATATTATTAATTATATTAATAATATAATTCGTATATATAAAAATAAATATAATATAGTAAATATTGTATGTCATTATAAACATTTTATATAATGTTAATTTCAAATGTAAATGCTATCATTATCTAATAATGCCGATAATTAAGATATTAAATAAAGCTAAATTATATATTAGAACATAAATAACTTCTTATTTTTTTTAAATTTACAGTTTGTAGGTATGTATATATATATATATTCGACTTGATAAAATATTATCATTTATCAATTTAAGCAATAAAAGACGTACTTATTTTGGAACATTTTTGTGCAAATTTGCAACTGATATCAACTTGTTTGATAGAGATAGCATCATTGTAATTTATATTCTACATCTATACTATGTATATAATCAATTTATTGTAATTTATATATTGTAATGATACAATAACGTAATATTATAATAACATTATAATAATATTGTTATCTATATTATCTCTAAATACTATAATTACATATTGTAAATTATATTAATTGCACGAAATTGAAAAAAATGCACATAATAAATAACGCAAAGTTTACAAAATTAATATATATCCAATAAATACTCGTTTTCTATTAGATATTTTATTTTAAAATTATTCTAGAATTTAATAGTCTGTTTTTGATATTAAAGTTAATAAATACGGAAAATTTTTATTTCCAAATTTCGTAGTTTCAATTATCTTTTTAATTATTATAATGCGTAACATAAAAATGATTAAATAATGTATGTGATTTGATATTAAGCCAACGATGCAATATTAATTTCTTACTCGCGAAATTTAATACTTGCTCTTTCGATAATGCAAAATCGCAATTTGACAAAATTATTTAGAAGTTCGGGATTTTGTCAATTAAATATATTCGTGAATTTGCAAATTGAAAATAAATATTTGTTCAATAAATGAATAATATTTGTTAAATAAATGTATAATTAATATTACAAACATCGCGTTTTTTTTCGTCCTTTTGGTTTGAGGCGCGATTGCTATCTTATTGTCTTTCGTGTAAATACTAACGCGGTTCGTACTATTGAAGAAATGATCTTTATTGCAGAAATATAATTTCTCGTCGGTTCTTGAACAATTAATCTACAACGAATTCAATGTTTCGTTGAAAATTAGGGGTTTTCATTGCAGAGCTGGAATTAAACCCAGGTTTTTTCGACAGTTCCTGGAAGCAATGGTTTTAACAATGAGTTAACGACAGATTTTTTTAAAGTCGAATCACGAAATTATAATTAAATAATATACTTTGAATAAAGAATTTTTTCTTCTTTTATTAAATCTTCTTTTGTTATTATTATTCTTAATATTGATATCGGTTTAAAAATTTTTTATCGCTTTGGAAAAGACTTATTGTTAGTAGTAAAGCATTGAGCATGGATATAGCTATTATAGAGATAAATATTAATTTATGTATATTATAGAGATAAATATTAATTTACCAAATAGGTAAATTTAAATTGTAATTTATTTGTTCATCTCTGAACTTTTTTTAATAAAATATATGGTTACGAACGAATACGTTTTATTAATTGATTTTTAATTAACTTTACTTTTGATCTCTTTTGAGAGATTATTTCTAGGTGTTGGACATCCTGCCATTTTAAGCCATTAATATTAATTTTTAAGTATAACTTTCGCTTGATACTTTATATGGAAAATTTGTTAGATATTTTACATGCAGGAAATATACGCGCAAAATGTGACACATTTGATAAAAGTTTTCTTTTGTTAATATTATATCAATAATACACACAAATACACACAAATATACATGAAATGTACAAGTACTAAAAAATTCGAGGCAAGTTGAATGGGTACCCTGATATCAGTAAGATATTGACATATTAAAATATTATTAAATATATTATAAAAGAATTAATAATTTTTTATTTTACGTCGCGAAATATTAAATACGAAGTTTGTCAAAATCTTGCTATTATTGGTTCGACTCGTCTCGAACAGTTGGTACCCGAAAATTATTGTACTCGTACATTTAACAAGCGATAAATGCGCATATGTTTCATGATTCTTAAACATACTCGTTTGTAACCATGCACAGTTCCATAAAAAATAGTTATATTATAATAGTTTCATTATTTATTAATAAAAAGACATTTCTAAATAATGGAAGAACATTTTTTCGCGTAAATTTCGATCTTGTGAATGAAAGATGGTGATAATACTTGTCATTGATTCATTGAAATGTTAAAATTATTGCTATTGGGAATGGTTTGGAAGATCTGAGAGTCGTTCCATTTTGCAGCGGAACTCTTGACATTTGACGAGTCGTTTAATTTTCCTTTGCGGATCAATCTCGATAGAATTCTACGTAAAACATACGTTAAAAAATAGTCGCTCTCTACATTTAATATTGTTCTTTTTTTACCTGTCGGATATTAACTGACGATCGGGCAAAATTATTTTAATTTTTCGAATTGTTATCATCAGATTATCCGAGAGATATTTTCATCTTATATTTAATTGCTATTATTATTTTTTTACTTGATCATTGGTTTATACAAAATTTCGCTTATTTTTTCACGTGTCAAACTTTCTTAAAAAATTAAAACGTATCAATATAAATACTTTTCTTTTTGTAATTAAAAGATATAATTGATGATAAGATATAATAATTAATGAAGAAATATAATAGATAATGTAAATGTATTGGCGATTTTTTCATCGCAACTTATTCATATTAAGCAATCCTTAATAAGTTTTGTCCTTAATAAGTTTTGATAAAAAGTCGATAATTAATAAATATCACGAATAATTTGAATCGTCTGTTTGAAAATCATTTGATTTAATTTTGAATGAATGTTGTGTGCATTTCAGATATTTTCGTGTAATTTTGTATCATAAGATATTTTGTACTAATTTATAAATATTATAATTATATTTATAAATTATATATTGTAATTATATAAATATTATAAATTCTTATCATAAATATATTGTATATGTTGTAAATATTATTATATATTGTAATAATATTTTATAAACTATTTATGTTATATTTTATAGTTCAATTATTGTATATTCTAAATTGAATATGAATTATATATTAATTGTATTAAATACATACAATAGTGTATATTGTATATATTTTTAATACTTTATAAGTAAAATAATTTTGTAATGTAATAATTTATATAACAATTTTATAAAATAATTT